TTTGTTTTTTTTTTTTTTAATTTCACTAAACAAAAAGAACTAAGTACTATCTATCTATCTAAATTTGATTCCTACATACAATTTTATGTGTAGTGGTATTTAAGCATAGACTCAATGCAGTCAATGACTATCTACTTCCAAGATATTTGTAAAGCGTAAAATGTTTCTTATAACTACAATTATTGGTCCTTCAAGCAGGATTTTCATATCATATCATGTCCTCAAAAGCCGGCAACGCATCTGTAGTTCCTCTGGGTATGCGGATGTCCATACGTCGTTAACCACCTCTGTGTTCCCGCTCGTTTGCCTCCTTCTCTTATCAAAAAGGATCATCTTAAAACACTTAACGGCGTTTTAGTACCCAACTTGTAACATTTGTTCATATTTTATTTAAAATTAAAGTATTAAGTCAAATAAATTGACAGAATACTTTAGTTTTATATTTTAATCTAGGTAATGCAGCGGAAACATATATGATGCGTGTAAAGGATATATCGGAGTCAGTAAGTAAAGTGAAGGACCACGTGTCGGCGGCGCGTCGCCTGCAGGAGCTCCTATCAGCTCATGAAGCCAGGGATAGGAATCTGGCTGAGGATATGTGCTCAAGGTGTGGTCTTAGCGCCAATAGTTTTTTTGTTTTTTTTCCTGTTGTTCCCTTATATTTTTTTAATCAAGTGTTAGCTTTTTGACTATTTTGACGTATTCTGTATTGTTATGTTTCCTACGTAACTTGGGTTCCGAATTTGAACCCCAGGACTTGACCAACGACCAAACTTCAGAAACAAACGACTTCTACATACCGCAATGACAACCACAATAACAACGCAAAGAACAACCGACAAATCACCGAAGAGCCCGCGACTAGCGGGCGACTAGATCTGTGGCGAGACATTCACAATATCGCGTTTCAATGTAAGACGGTCTCGCCACAGCGCCATCTATTAGTGCGGAGTGAAAACGACGCCAACATGTATTCTTGAAGGTTGTTAGTCTGTGCTATAAATCAGTACCATTTGTCATAATTTGAAATAACGATATAAGCTTTGTAATTGTGATCCAAAACATTATTTTAAAATATTTATGTCATGGTTTTAAAATGTCGTAATTGTGCTTGTTATGTTAATAATCGGATAGTAGTCGGATGTCAAAATAAGGGTGTTACATTAGCTCGACGATACGACGGCCATATTGGTAAGGTATTATGTGCAAATTGGAAGAAAACATAAGAGCTAATATAGTATTAAAGCATAACATGGCTGTGACGCCCATACAAGGAACTGGGGTGCGGTTGTTTCTTTATTTCAAAAAGTGTTTACTAAGTTAACTTAAATTTACATCTTAATCATGACTATATAATATCAATATTTCTAAGACTAATTTGAATCAATAAAATTAAAATTTAATTAATAAAATTTTAAAAATACAAAATAGCTTAAAAGTTTGGGGTAGGGTACTACTCTTGCGGTTGTGGGTTCGAATTCAAAAGTTTAGATGGATGTTTGTTAGAGTTTGTAGCCTAAACGGCTGAACGGATCTCGTTAAAATTTGGCATAGACGTAGAGTACAGTCTGCAAGAACATATAGGCTACTTAGTTTTTTTTTATTTTACGCGGGCGAGAGCTAATTTATAACAATCTACTAATTATGTATATTGAAAAAACAGCAGATGACATATTAAAACACTTTTTACAATTAAAATAACATCTTTTTTTAAGAAATTAGAGAGAAAATAAATTAATAAAACTATTTTTATTGTTTAATAATAATTGCAGGGTCATGAAGTGGTCGTTGTGGCAGATTGCTGTAATGCTTCTAGTCGGAATCACGCAGGTTTGTATAAAAAAAATCAAAAGCAAAAAATCCAATTTATATCTGGCAAGCTATAACTCCTTACCGTTTAAGTAAAAAAAAGTGTCAGAAATATTTTCCATAGACAAAATGCGCGGGAAAACCTTGATTATTTTTATGAAAATAGAACAGTTTATGAATTTTGTGTTTTTTCGCAGGTTGTATTCGTGAAGAGTCTCTTTCAGGAACCAAATGGTAGCATAAAAAAGTTTGTGCCCAATTTCTTGTCGCAATGACGCCAAAGAATATGTTTTAAGTTAATTTAAGATTATTTGTCTTGTTGTTTTCTTTATCTATTGTTTATTAAAGAAAATGAACTGATTTACAAAAAAGATTTTCTGTACACAATTTATGTTCAACAATCGTCAAAAATCAAGCTAAAAAATAAGCTCTTTTTATTTTAAGAGTTTTAATAGCAGTGTATAAAGTCCGTTTTTATTTAGTTTATAAAATGTTTAGGGCACAAATTAGAATATCACATGTAAATGATATTTTTGAATTAAAAGTTTTTTGTTCAGGTTGTTTCTTATGTTAAAACCAAAGTTTAGATTTTCATAGATAATACCAATATTTAGACATTCTCGGTCATATCTTTCAAAAAGTTAATAATTAGATAAAATCGATGTAATTATTGAATAATAAAAAAATGAATTACATAAAACTACATGTTTCTGATTCGCGCAACTTCCGTTTTGTTACAGTTAAAATGTAAATGTGATGGTTTTCTTGATTATAAACGGGTTGTTTGATTGAAATGAGCTATAAATAATTGTAGTTGTAAATAAATTTATAACTAGTCACAGCAATAGTTTTATTATTCCCTCAAAACTTTAAATATGTGAGTACATTTAGAATTGTGAGATTATAGGGATTTTTATAGATAAAAAAGACGCGATAAGTCAAAATTTACTATAACCGAAAATTCAATTTTTTAACAACATATTGTGTCTGTTCTCAGAAAAAAAAATGGTTAGAAAGTAAAAATGAACGTTGATTTGGGTAAATAATCCAATCATCTTTGTTTTATCTGTTAAAAAAAAATACTGTCATCTGCCAAATGTCAAGTTTTGTTTATAAACGGATAACATATTTTTAATTTTTACATTAATTTCATGTTTATAAATGAAACAATGTTTAATATTCTGTTCTGATATCAAAAATGCGTTAATAATTTAAATTATATTGTCGCATTCCGTTTAACAAGAAGAATACAAATTAAAGAACTCACAATGCTTGCTGTTTTGTTTTTAAATCGCATAACAACTCGGCGACGAGCCGCATATGCATTACAGTCGATAAAACCTGAGAAAAAAGACCCAGAGGTATTATGTAGAACTTGTTTAAGTATCGAAAATTTGGTACCAATTTTCGATAGCAAAGAAAATTCTGAGAAAAGGTCTTCAGATTTAAGATTAGTTACTGGTTTAGAGGTAAGTAATTAAAAAAAAATATTTCAATATATGGTAAAACATTTAGAAATAAAATTATTTTTATAGACACATGTTCATTGGTAAAATATGTACAGAAAAGACAGAAAATATGATGACATTGATAATGTGTTCTAATTTCAAATAATTTAAATTCTTCCTTTTTTCTAACGGCTTGAGGCCTAAAAACATGTAAAAACTCCTTGAACTATATCTGAGAAAAGAACTACAGGCACTCCAATTTAATTTTACAATAAAATATTACAGTATTAAATAAAATTCTGTTTCAGATCAAACCCAATGATGGTTTATCACAAAAAATATGCAAAAGTTGTATCAAAGCTATGCAATCCGCTCTACAATTCAGAAAAACAAGTAGAAAAGCAGAAAAAATACTCCTCAGTACAGTAAATAGTATAAAAATGAAAAAGAAACACACAGAAAAATCCATACTGGATATAAAAAAGAGTCCACAGATAGAAAAGGAGGAAAGCATAGATTATAATTATGAATTTTTAGATAATGATTTTCAAACAGATTATTCTGATGTGCCAGAGTTTAAATCACAATTAGTTTTAAAGAGACGGAGGAAAGAGGTATGTTTTTAAATCTTAAGTGCATGATAAGATAAGACAAATGAATATTTATTACATTGTGTTCCACTAACTTCAATTATTTCACTCAATCTATCTATACTATTATAATAAAGCGTAAACACACACTTCTTTGTTGCCTAACATGTCAGCAATTACAGAATGTTTGTAAATAATTCATTTTTTAATGAAAAGCCCTACACTTGCATCACGCTTTAGGCTATTTATTTTAACATCATTAAACTTAGGGATTAAATGTTTTGGATAAAAACCCTAATGTGGGAAAGGAACCATAAGTTGCTGCCAACATCAAGGCAGCAAAGTTTTTTTTCTTTAAACTACTACTAGCTATATAGCTACAATAGATACTTAATATAAATTAAATCTCTTATTTCCAGTCTAAAGGTAAAAGGGTAACTTTGATTCCAAATGCCTCCTCATACAGATGTAACTACTGTTCCAAAGAGTTTCGTATGAAGGCTACATACAAGGCACATCTGCGCTTCCATACGCATTACTGTGTTTGTGAGGTAAGAATATTTTGTTATACGTTACACAGAGTATGAATTTGCAGATTAAATGTGAGAGTTCTAACAATGGTAGTACACCTCTACTGTTAAGAAGGAAATTAGTACCGTGCTGTAGAATTAGTGGTAGAGCCCGGTTTAACATCTTAGCACTGACTCGCCCGGTGTAATACCACGACCACACAGAAGTCAGGCGTGAAATGGAAGCAATTCCACGTTTCGTCTGATGAGTGTGGTGCCGGAGGCCTAATTTAAGTCCATTTCTCTTTACCACCCTTTTCTTATAAGGAGAGGATGGGAAGGTGAAGTGGATTTGACGGTGGAGGAGATACATAGGTAGGGGAAATATCCTCTTTATGTGCGTCTCCGCCTCTGAAGGGTAGCCAACGCATCTGTAATTGCGTATGTCTATGAGCAGCGGTCGCTTCGCCATTTTGGCGGATTCAGGTGGCCGCTTGGTCGTTTGCCACCTTACGTTTTTAAAAAAAAAACACTAGATTGTTGGCATAAACGTCAAATCTCTAACTGACAGCTGTCAATGTCATTAGAAGGATCGTTACGCGCGCGATCGAGTACTGACGAGAAGTGTTCTGAGTTTTAAACGATAGTATCAATTAAATAAATTGTTTAAAACTACCTTCTAGATTATAAGGATTGTTTAGAACTAGTTTTGTCTACATGATTATAGTAAACAGTATTTAGGCGTCGCCAGAAGGAGCAAGGATTGCCTCAACCTTTAGTGATCATTCGCACGGACGCACTTTTTACGCCGCGTTAAAACTCAAGGTCAACGCATTTTTTACGCAGAGCGTTTTTACGTCCCTTGAAAAACAAATTAAATCAAAACATATGTACAATTTTTGTAGACAAATTGACTTAACATTTTTTATTAAACTATTCTATTTAGTATAAAAAGTATTATTACCTCTTTCTGGAATATACCCCTCAAGTTTAGTTGGCGACATCTATGGTACCGTGTATAGTTTGTTCTGTACATATGAATCGATAATCACTTTAGTATTTAGCGTGATTGGAACCCAGGACCATTATTAAAGTACGCTAATTTTACTGCAATAGATGTAATATTAAGTACTAGCTTTTGCCCATGACTCCGTCTGCACCAATTTTAAAAAAAACAAAAGCAAGTAGCATATGTGTTCTTCCAAACTATGTTCTACACCTATGCCAAATTTCATCTAGATCTGTTCAGCAGTTTAAACTATAAACTCTAACATCCATCCATCCATCCATCCATCCATCCTTTCGTGTTTAAAATATTAGTACGTTATGGTACAGTCATGCGGCAAACGCTGCAGGAATAACAATCAGCTGCAAGAACACAAGCGGGCACGTCACGGCCTCGGTCGTATACACAGCTGTGCGTACTGCGAGTATACCTCCGCTACTAAAGAGGCTCTCACAGTAAGTGTCAGTCCAAATTGTAAATTATCTAACAATCGAACCTGTAAAATATGTGATGGAAATCAGATTTTGTTCCCTTATCTGACAGTGACGTCATTAAGCTATCTTAGCATCTATCAGCCAGTGGTGGGAAAGGTAAGACTTAAGACTACTAAATGCTGTAATTTTGTAAAATAGACATTTGGTATTTCATGCCTATTAGATTTCCGCAGGGACTTGGTCTGCCTGAAAATGTACATAAATATATACTTTGTTACTCACAGATAAATTGTCTTTGTAATGGTTAAAGAATTATTAAAATCGGCCCATTACTTTTAGAGTTATTTCAATATGGACATAAATACAAATCTTTCCTCTTTATAATATTAGTAATTGGTAGATTTATCTGTTTGTAATCAAAAAGAACGTTTAACTTGGAACGTAAGGTGTTACCAAGCAATTGCCTGTCTATTATAAGGACGTCATAGGCATTTTTTCAACATACTAATGATTTTTAATAGATCCACGAACGTCGACATACGGGCGAACGGCCGTATGTATGCGACCATTGTGGAGCCACCTTCCACCGCCGCTCTAACCTGGTCCAGCATATCGCGATACATCTGCCTGAGAAGAACTTCCAGGTCAGTCTAAACCAATAGACTATCGAATCAGGTCTAGTCCAAGTGACCCTATTGGTCTTATATATCGAAATGACCTCAATTTTGTAAAAGAAATTAAAATCAAAGCTTGGCAATTGAGACCGCATTAGTCAAGCCTTTGCCTTTTACCTGTTTTTGTTTTGTTTTCTATCCTTTTTATTATATTTTGTTATGTTTAAGTTTTATTTTTGATAAATATATATTTTTTTAATTTCATAAAATGGTCTACGATAAAATAGTTTGCAAATATCTGATTAGACCCTTAATTCGTCAACGTCCAGTGACGAACAACTAATTTGAAAAATATCTACTGAAATCGTTTAGAGAAAAACATTTTTTTTGTTGGCAACACTTTTTTTTTGCTATAAATAACTCCGTCGAATGAAGGGTGTATTAAATTGTAATTATTTTTTACAGTGTGATATGTGCCCAAAACGCTTGAAATCTCGCAAGTTTCTACAGATTCACAAACATAATGCGCATACAGGCCGTCGTTATGGTTACCTCTGTCCTGTTTGTGAACATCGCTTTGAGAAGCCAAACAAAGTTCGAGCACATATGCGTCGTGTACATGGACTCCCTGAAGACACACACAGCCCTATTGTTAGGGTGCAATTGTGATACTGGCAGGAAAGGAATTTTGAAATCACTGGCCACTAAGAATATTTTATTGAAAAAAAAGTTGGAAATTATCTCTGGCCATGAATAATCTCAAGCCTTTTGATAATTTGGTCACCGAATCCCAAGAGTGTTAAGTTTTATTTATTTGTAAATAATTTATATTTGTATTTAATATCGAATAACTTGATATAATAAAGTAAATAAGAATTAATACCGCTGTTTTATTAACTTTTTATACAATAAAACTTGGAGACATTATTCGAACCAACTTTACTGGTTGTTGTTTTATACGCACATACCTACTCAACTTAAGGTGTTTAAACAAAATATTTATTTTAATTAAAGACTTACTTTCATAAATTTGACTCTGCAATAAAGAATTTGCAAATGTGCAAAGTGTATCCTCTAATAATCTTAAAGCTCTTTGATATTTTAAAACTTTTGATATTTTATCTGTTTTAGTTCCATAATCGCTTCAATATATTTTATCTGTGAATCATTTGACATGTAAACAATGCAAACAATAACAAGTTATTGTTTTTTATTTTAATGAATTAACTAGATTTATGAATAATACGAGTAATATAAAATGGCTAAAACGTATCCGTGGAAATGCTGCAGATTTTGTCTTAGCGAGCAGTTTTTGCACCAGATATTTACAAGACCGGAACATAGCGAGAAATATACTAAGGTGATCGAAGCAACTACTGGATTAAAAGTAAATAAAACCCTTTATTAACTTTGTAGTCAGAATAAAAGACAAGACGTAAAGAATTGTAATTATTAAATTTAAAAATAAACCTTGTTTCGTACTAAAACATTGAAAAAACAATCGAGATTAGAGGTAATACTTTCTTGCTTATTTCAGGTAGAGATAAATGATTCATTATCACAAGAAATATGTATAACATGTGTAGAATTTATAAACGAATCATTTAGATTCCAAAAACGATGTGAATACGCACAAAATACACTTATAAAATGCAATTCGGATGGAATCAAACCTGAATACATTTCTAACATAAAAACTGAGTATAAACACACAGAAATCGACATAACAGAGCTTTTACCTGATGAGGATTTTAAAGATTATGACGATAATATAACTTTAGATGTAATAAACACATATGAAAATTGTAATGAAACACAATATAATACAAAATCTATTAAAACTAAGAGTAGAAGTAAAAAAAATGGTACTGTAAAAACTAAAAGAACAGTAAAGAAGACTGAGAAGGAAGGAGAAGTTACACAGAAGAAGGAAGAGATTGAATGTGAATTTTGTCATAAAATATTAACATCAAAGTTGTCATTACGGAACCATTATAAAATACACACGGGATTTGATGTTGTCTGTGAGGTATTTTCATCTTATTTAATACTGTCTGTTGCTCGCGACTTCGTCCGCGTGAAATTAAAAAACATAGCCTATGTAACACACAGATAAATAACCTTTCTAATGGTGAAAGAATTTTTGAAATCGGCAAAGTAGTTTTTACGTGAATCACACATACAAAATTCCAAAAATACAAATCTTACCTCTTTATAATATTAATATAGATAAATGCATAAGTTTGTATGGATGTTTGTACCTCCATAACTTATTAGACTACTGTGAAATCAATAAGTTAAAGCCTCAATAAATATTATCTATACTGATATTATGAAGAGGAATGATTTGTAATTTTGTATTTACTGGAATAACTCAAAAACTACTGGGGTGATTTAAAAAGTTCTTTCAACATTAACCTATGTTATCAGTGAGTTCATACTAATATTATAAATGCGAAAGTTTAGATGGATGTGTGTTAGAGTTTGTAACCTAAATGGATTTCTATGAAATTTGGTATATGTAGAGGATATTCTGGAAGAACACATAGGGTATCTTTAGTTTTTTTTAATCCAACGCGCTCGGAGTCGTGGGCCAAAGCTAGTATGCTATATTCTTAATTCTTCAATTGCATACAGATTTAATTACTAGCAACAGTTAAGTAATAAATTTCAGCATTGCGGTAAAAAGTTTATAACCCGTCGTCTCCTGTTGATGCACTGTAGAGCCAAGCACGGCTATGAGAAGACAGACAAGTGCTCCTTCTGTGACTACAAGGCTTCTAATGCTGAACAGGTTAAGGTGAGTTAGTGACGCCTTTGACTAAACAATGGCACAGCTGTTGTGCGAATATTTATTGCTTCGCAGGCAATCCAACTGTTTAGTTGCACAAGTAACATTGAGTAGTGAGAGCACCTCCATATTAGTTTATAGCAGTCAAAGCAAGACTAAACAGTTGTGAGGTAGTTTAGTTTTAGGTGTACAGGGTTTGGTAGTCATCCTTCAGACTAAGGCTCGGTATCTCCAACTGCTGTTTGGTCTAAATATTTAATTCCTCTCCATTTGACAAATATTGGGCTAAGAAGATTGACAACTAACTTCTAGTATCCTCAGTGGAGACATAGCTGATGAAGAGCTCCTTATCTTCTGGGATTCCCTACTGAGGGAAAGCCTACCTTTTTTTCTGCCAGATGAGAATGCCTTACGCATACTCCGTGCCTCGGGGCAGGCATGAGAGTTATGTGGGACTCTTTCGATTGCCACTGCGACGCCTCACTAACCGACCCGGGAAGGGGCTCTCGATGCGTCCCAATGAATTGGGAGGCTGCGCCTTAAGGCGCCCTTCGGAGAGGGAAAGCCTACCCTATAGTCAACCACACAGCAGCAGTTCACGCATATCTATGAATTTCTTCACCAATGCATCACGATTCCTTTACAGTCAAAATTTCAGGTAAATTATGTACATATGAATTTTTAAAATTGAAAATGGTACGGTATTCAAACTTAGGACCTGTTGATCACAAAACTCAAACCACTGTGCCATTGATGCTCTATATTTTTATCATCATCATCATCACCAGCTCACTATACGTCCCCACCGAGGGGCTCGGAGCCTACCCTAATCAGGGGTGACTAGGCCATAGTCAACCACGCTGGCCAAGTGCGGGTTGACTTCACACATATCTTTGAATTTCTTCGCCGATATGTGCAGACATCACGATGTTTTCCTTCACCGTAAGAACGTCGGGTAAATTATGTACATATGAAAATTCGAAAAATCGAAAATCATATTGGTACAGGATTCGAACCCAAGACCTGTAGATTACAAGTCAAGTGCTTAAACCACTGAGCCACCGACGCTCTATATTTTTATGCTAAGTTTATATTATAGATACATGAACGCCTGCATACTGGTGAGAGACCGTTTTCATGTGGTCAATGCGACGCAGAATTCCACCGTAAAAGCAGCTATCTCCAGCACATCGCTATACACCTCCCAGAGAAAACTGTACAGGTAACTATAACTATAATCTATCAGCTCACTATGTCCCTATTTAGGGTGAGTCTACGCAAAGTTAGGGTGACTAAGCTATAGACAACCACGCCGGACAAGTGCGTTAACATCACATATCTTTAAATTTCTTACCTGATATGTGCAGGTTTTCCTTCACAGTAAGAACGTCGGGTAAATTATGTACATATGAAAAATCGAAAAATCACATTGGTACAGGATTCGAACCCAAGACCTGTAGACAAGTCGAGTGTTCAAACCACTGAGCCACCGACGCTCTTACTAATATTGTAAATGCGAAAGTTTAGATGGATGGATGTTGTAGCCTAAACTGCTGAACGGATCTCGATGAAATTTGGCATAGTAGAAGATAGTCTGGAAGACATAGGCTACTTACTTTTATTTTTTTATTCCATGTGGAAAATAAAGCGTAAATACACTTTTTTATGTAAGATGTCAGCAATCACGGCATATTTTTTAATATCCTATTTTTAATGAATAACACTTATGACATGCTTTGGCTACAGTTTTTCACGCTATTAAAGTTAAGAGGTGATGAAATTGGATAAAACTGCTTTTTAAGAAAGGAGCAGAAACTTCAAGCCAATAGCAAAGAAGTAGGGTCATTTGAATTTCTCGTATGCAATATAAAGTAATGGAATTTTAAAAATATATTTTTAGTATTAAACCCTGCTTTATAATAGTACAATAAGAGCATGCCTTTGACTATACTGTCGCATAACTGTTGTCCGATTGTTTCGTCAATTCAACTGTTTAGTTGCACAACTAAAAATCCAATTGTATATAAGCTAAGAGGAATCAAATAAACACTTGTGCGATAGTAACACTCTTAGATCACTGGCGCCAGTGTCAAGCCAGTAATTTTTAACAGTGCTAGTGCCCGCTTTAACATCTTAGCAATGCAGGGCTCGCCCCCAGTAATACCACGACCACACAGACAGGCGTGAAATGGAACCAATGCCGTTTTTCGTCTGATGAGTGTGGTGCCGGAGGTCTAATTTAAGTCCCTTTCCTACGACCCTTTTCTTATGAGAGGATGGGAAGTGGATTTGACGATAGAGGAGATGCATAGGAAGAAGAAATATCCTCTTTATGTGCGTCTCCTCCTCCGTCGGATAAGAGTAAGCGACGCATCTGCATTTCAGATGTCTATGTGCAGCGGTCGCTTCGCCATTTTGGCGGATTCAGGTGGCCGCTTGCTCGTTTGCCACCTCATGTTATAAAAAAAAGTAATTTTCCAGTGCAGTCAGTGTCCAGCGCGCTTCAAGTCGCTGACATTAATGCGTATTCACTTACACCGGCACCGCGCGCCGCAGTATACTTTCCGTTGCGCGCTCTGCGAGGGCAGGTTCTCGCGGCGGCGGAACGCGGCCAGACATCTACAGCGTGTGCACGGCACGGATCCGACCCAAGAACATATACAGCGTGTTAAACTTGCGTGAAAATAAATCTTCTGATAGCTTACTTGGGTGTATTATTGATTTTTAAAATTTTTGTAATTTAAACATGTTAACAGCGACAACGGTTAGTTAGAGAAAAAAAGTGACGATCCGTGTAGTGGGAGTTAGTTTTGGGTAGTACACGTACGATGTACTAAAAAGAAATGTTACACGACACCGTACTAAAAGTAACGTTACCTAACGGCTTCTGTTAATCGGACATTTAGTACTTTTAGTACTAGTTATTTGATTTGATTGTATATTTGTTAGATTGAAGCATCCACCTTCGATAATGAGAATCAAAAGTGGATAAAATTATTTTTAACTAAATTTATTTTCGCTAATAACATACGTTTGACCTTAAAATTTGATGTAAAGTAATATATAACTCTCGTTATATTCTATTCATGTATTGTGTTCTCACAAATCTAAAGTACTAAGGGTACTAAATGTGTACTAGTACGTTTTCCCAATTGTACTAGTACAGTGCGCACTTGCAGATGTCCGATTAAGCCCAAGACTAGTGTGAGTGCACAAACGTCATCGCGTCGGCCAATAGGATGTCCGTACAATGTTCATGAAGTCAGACGCGAATGACGCGTGGACAAAATATCAATAATAAAAGGTTTTATATAACTTGCAAATGATTTTAAGAGATTTGGAGTAATTTAAATCGTATAAGGTATAAATTACATTTTTAGTGTGACTATGTCGCCATCTTTGATAATGTTTGTGTTCGGTACATTTTGAGGTTATATTTGTAATTTGCGGATTCTTTTTTCCACCTTATTATTGTTGTAAAGGTTTAAAACAGATTTTGTAATCAATCGAATATTTACTATTAGTTACGTAATTTATTTGTATTTCGATATACTTCGATATTGAATCTCAAATAACAAAATGTATTAATAAAAAATACTTTATGTGATATTATTAAATAAAATACGTATTTATACTGTACTTTCCCGCCTTATTATACTTATTGTAAATTATACATTTTTACACAAAAAGTTTTATTATTTTTGACCGACTTCCCAAAAGGTACTCAATTCGTCTGTATGTTTTTTTTTTGCGTGTTACGGCATAACTCCTCCGCTTGTGAACCTATTTTGATAATTCTCTTTTTATTTGAAAGGTAGTGCTTTCAGGTGGGTCCCAGTTTTTTGTTTGATTTTTGAAGTTAAACACTACGACGTTTAAGAATATGTTTTTGGAAGACGGTTTTGTTTTATTATAAAAAAAATCTCCAAAAGGTATCGAAATAAAAGACGTTGATTTTAAAACAATGTTTATTATAGGAGTTACATACATTTAAATAACTTTTATTGCTATTGGGATAGTTAATTAGAGGGGTATAAAAGCGAATACGCTTCAATCTAATTTTTAAAGTATGCATAACTAGCTAGGACCCGCGACTCCGCCTGCGTTTAAAAAAAGTGAGTAGCCTTTGTGTTCTTCCAGACTATCCTCTACATCTATGTCAAATTTCATTGAGATACATTTAGCTGTTTAGGCTACAAGCTCTGACAAACATGTATCCATTTAAACTTTCGCATTTATAATATTAGTAAGATAAATTAGTAACCCCCTATAACGTGGATGATAATTCCGCGTTAAAGAAATCCTGTATAACACGATTTTCAACATAAATCACGTTATAGGGGATTCTTGTAAAATTGCTGGAAATATTCGCGTTATAGGGAGTCGTTGCCGCGTTATAGCGGGATTTTTTATACATTTAATAAGCTAGAATTTGGTTTTTAAAAATTAGACTGGCCGTAGGTGCTTTTATGCCCCTTAAATATTCCGCTAGGATGCTATAGGGTTTTAAATATGCCCGACTTACAGAAGGGTAAAATAATTCCTATGGATTTCGATTATATTGTGATTTTCTAATATCTTATAATGACACTTGAAGAACATTAAAAATAAAGAAAAAGGAACAATCACCAAAAGAAACTTATAATTTTATTTATATGTTTATTTAAATTTTTAATAAATATCACAAACACAACATTTTATAACCTACAATATTTTATTATCTATGATAAGAAAAAAACAATCCATTATGTTGACATATAATAAAATACCTGCAATTGAAAAACCATTTATCGTAATATATTGCATATGAAAGTAGTTAAAAAGATAAACTAAGGGCTTGTCCCACATCTGGCTGATAGAGGGTCAGATAGCTTCACGTCACTGTCAAAGGGAACAAAATCCAATATTTCCATCACATATATTACTTTGGATTGTTAGACAATTTACAATTTGGTGGGACAGGCCTGTGTTTTATAAAAATAAATGCTGATTTGAAAAAAAAAACAATTAAATTCAATTTCCATAATCGAAAAATTATTTTATACTTATATTGCAAAATATATGCAATAATGTTTTTGAAAAACTAATAAAAAGAGGATATTTTACTTGTTTTTCATATTTGGTAATATAGACATATTTTTGTCACACATTTCGTCTGTCAAACAAATGCGTAACTAAACCATTTATAGTCATACAATAAAATCCATACATTTTAATATAGAAATCCATCCAAGACGCATAACAAATGAAGACATTGGCTTGCTGGTATGAACACGCCAGTAACTGGCATATACTGTTCTTAAACATGTTAAAACAGATTTGAAATGTAAAATATTTTATAAATGATGAAAGAAATAAATACATACTGTGTATTTATATCGCAGTGGTCTATTTAAAATAAGTCACATCAGTCATGATAAATCACTGATTTGTCACTAAGTTTATGACATAAATTGTGATTCGACATATTAGATGTCGTTGTTGTTATTCGCTATTCTGGTGAAAGCAAGCGATGTATTAGTTTCTCATATGACACATACAGGACATATTACTTAGAAACAACTATATTTTGACACAAGTGTTTGTAACTCTTTGGTTGTACCAACATTTAAAAAATAAAAATAAAATAAAAACACTTTATTGATACGATCAGTTTAACATGAGAGACATTACTTTAAGCAAAATGAATTAAAAACGGCTCAATTCTCGATCCCGACTAGTTTCGGATCCCCGAAGTGTCCTAGTCGGTGCCGTCACAGGAGGATAAAAGCGTGAGTTGAGCCGTATTTAATTAATTTTCGCTTAACATTATAGTGTTTGTAATTACTTTATACTCTTTGGCAGCTGTCAGATTATTACAATGTTTTATGGTAAATCACGTGTTAAAAGATTTTATTTAAATTTGTTACTTCTTAAACATATATTTTGAGTTACTGATATCTACTAAAAAGAGAACATTTAAAGTGATTACTAAATTCCTTTCTATCTCAAACGTTTTGACATACGGAGCGTCAGTGTCCAATAGGGAATATGCATGTATTTTTTTCTTTTTTTAAACGATTCTACTTGTTATAAAATAACCAGAAAATTGACGCGAAAATATTCAACCATTGAGATAAAAATAATCAAATAAAATTGCAACTATTTTCGAGCGACTAAAACAAGACCGGAGGTTGTCATAAGACAATTGACGTCAATCGTCTATTCCATTCATAACAAAGTTTCTCAAGGTGGAAAAGTCAAAAATCGATTCATTTTTATTATTCCTGGTACAAATAAGTGGTAATTAATAATTCTATTCATTAATTTTTTATTCTAAAGTTGGTTTTGATATCGTGTTTACAGTAAAATACTTCAAGATTGTATTTCTATATAAAGTAACGTAAATGAACTGTGTATTGTCAACACAGCGATGCCATATTAGATAAGCCACTTGCTTCCACCAATAGTGTGCGTTTTAGAACTTAGCGAGGGAATTTGAAAAAAGACACTATTTAATGATTAAATTTTGCCATTAAATAATTACATTATATTAAAAAAAAATCTTTGCAGGAATGTTTTTATAGTAATAAAGTATACTTAAGAAAAGTTTGGTGCAATTTGGCGTCATATGCATATTGCCTATTGTAGTGTTTTTAACATAACAATGACAAATCTGTGATTCGTCATAACGTGAGTGACAAATTTGTGACCGGTCATGATTGGTGATACGTACTATTGCTGGTCTACCGCTGCAAGTTCTGCAGCTTCTCGCAGCTGGGTGTTCGCAACTTCTGCGCCTCCTGGTACTGACGCGTGTCGCCAAAGTTGCGAGCCTTCCACGTCATACTGTCGCGGTAGTTACGTTCCCGCTGGCATGCATGCCGGAGACTCACTGTCACAATAATAATTACATACATAAATATTATATATGCGAAAGTAACGATGGATGGATGGATGTTTGTTAGCGTTTGTAACCTAAAGGGCTGAAATCTCCATAAAATTTGGCTAATAGTCTGGAAGAACACATAGGCTACTTTCTATCCCGGGAATAGTTCGTCCGCTAGGAATTAAAAAAAATTAGTAAAAACATAGCCTATGTTACTCAGTGATAGCATAGCTTTTAATGGTGCAACAATTTAACAGTGGTAGTGCCCGCTTTAACATCTGAGCACTGCAGGGCTCGCCCCCAATACCACGACCACAGACAGACGTGAAATGGAAACAATTCCGTGTACAGTCTGATGAGTGTGGTGCTGGAGGTCTAATTTAAGTCCCTTTCTCTTTACCACCCTTTTCTTATTAGAAGAGGTTGGGAAGGGGAAGTGGATTTGACGGTGGAGGATGCATAGGAAGGGAAATATCCTCTTTATGTG